TGACTCGGGGTGGTGTTGCTGTTGTTGCTGTTGTTGCTGTTGCTGTTGCTGCTGTTGCTGCTGTTGTTGCTGCTGCGGCTGTTGCTGACTGGCAACTTCACCAGGGTTTTGTGCATCCCCAACAGTTTGCTGTTGCGGAGGAGGTGGGTACATGGCACCATGGGGAGGGAAATGTCCCACTGGAATCATGGGATGCATTCCAGTAGTCGGCATTACGCCTGGGGGGGCCTGCATTGCCATTCCGTGGGGAGCCGGATACCACATTCCATAAGGAGAAGCATAGGGGGGCATTTGCATAGGCGTTGCGGAGGTTGGGCTGGAAGGGGAAACACCGCCGTTGGCCGATGGAGGATGAGGCATCATCGGTGGGAACGCATAACCGTTGGGAGGCATCGCGGGGTTTTGCTGACCAGACTGAGAAGGTGGGTAGGGATAAGGAATTGGCTGCATCATACGTGGACCATTTACATTTGGTCCTCCTTGATACATTTCCAGGGGAGGGCCAACACCATACATCGCTCCTGGAGGACCAAAGGTATATGGCATTCCATTAGGAATGGCACTAGATGGCTGGGAAGACTGATGCTCGTGGCCAGACTCGACCCCGTTCACTGCAGTCTCACCATTAACCGGCAGCGGACCTGACTCGGGACCTGCGCTCTGATCTGCTTCGCATACAAGAACGTGTCAATTCGCCGAGGAGAGTGGAATACGACAGAAGGGCAGTATTTCCAGGCCATGCACCGATCATGGACCAACAGCGCATGAAAATTCGTCATTTCACCGAATTTGAGGGGCAAAGTTGGTACGATTGGGTGACAGATACCCAGGCGAGCGTGGGATAATACACAGTCGCCCAGAGAACAAGCATAAATATTATCACAACCGTCGATTGGCGCGATTCAGCGTCACGATGAGTCGCCGGTGAACATTGAAAAGGAGAAAAATGAGTTTGATGTTCCATTAGCATTCCAAACAAAAGGTCGCTGAACTCGTAGAGTTACACACCTTCATGAATAACAGGCTTTTGGGGCTCAGAAGGAGCCGGAATAGTTTGTTCTTGGGTAATGGGAGATTCGACAACCATATAAGAGATGTAGCGAGCCCAGCTAACGAGATTCTAGTTGGATAATTTCAAGTAATAAAGAATGGCCTGAGTTTGATTACTATCGGATGACGATAGCGGGCGAGCAGGTGATATTTTCTGGAGGATACGGCGAGTGGGATGAAGGAAGGAGAGCACGACGCGACGAAGGGCTGTTGAAGGGAAGACAATGCTCAGCGAACGTTTTTGATCGTGTTTTGCGCGCGCGTACTTGGATTCCAATCGTCCTGATGGGGTGAGGTCGAAGTCAAGGTTGGGACCGTTGAACTGAGCCAGGTAAAAACACTTGGATTCGGTTGTCCCAAGCGCCAAAGCTTGCTAGGGTCACGAACGCAAAGTCGGACCGGTAACAACACGTCTACGTGTCTCGTTCGCAATAAAAGAACTTCATGACCTCCTTACATGAACATGTAAACCAATCAAGTCGCGGGTATTCCGAGAACAGAACGATGGCCATCCATTGTGGGCACTGGGCAAATTCTAAGATACAAGATGTGGCTATTTGTCTGAAAAAAAAGAGGGTCGCATATCTTTTAGTCGCCCAGTCTGTACCACCTTCGTGAAAATCATGGTCTAGCCCTTTACCCTATGTTGCAGGCCAATTTACGCAGCGTGGTCGCCAACATTTTCTGATACTGACCATCCCTACGATGGAGGTCATTCATATATCACCACAGAAGACTATGGACATGCTCACCTTTACTATGCCGTTCAAGCTCAGAGGCCCTTTGGTCCAATGCTCATTTCCGGCTATGAAATCACCTCGTACCACTTTTCCTCTGTGTACAACACGGCCACCACGTTCAACTTTGACGTAAACACCCTCCACTCGACCACTATAGAATTGCGAGGGTCGTTGAACCATGAGGCGAAGCTCTTCATCACTGGGCAGTGTCAATTGTCCGTCAGAATATTCTGGCGAATTTTGCCTCGTTTCCATCAGTGGAACTAGATGAAGTTTTGTCCCCTTTACCTTTGCCTCTAGAACGTCCCTTGATGTAAACGAGGCAGTCACGCGATCATAGAGGTCAAATATCAAGAATTCGCTCGGGAGACTCGTGTAGTTGATCGAGTGGACACAAACCATCCATTCTCCAAACAGAACAAATCTTTGGGGAAACATGTCGTCCACTGCCAAAATGTGGTACAAGTCCTCGCGGTGCTCTTCGACCCATAGATCGAGCTTTTTGAATTGGAAATGGGTTTTAGAATTAACCCAGTGGGAACGGTTTTGAACCACGATGCCAGAATTTTCGTTCAGCGAGATGCCCAGGTTAGCCCCGTCTATCTTCTCGGTAATGACGATTCGTGAACCCGACTCGAGGGCAAGAGAAGGTGATAGGGTGGACCCATGGGATGGTGTATGGTGGAGGTCGTCCTCCGTCGCTGCTCCCAAGTTGAGCAGATGAGCGGTGCGAGGGAACTTGAACAGCTCTACGGGTGGGGACAAAAGAGAGATGAGTTCTTGACACGCCTTGAAAGAGCGGATGACAGCTGTTCCAAGGAAGCCTTCTTTAGAGGGGTGTACCGGTGGCTCGAACTGGGCCAGAGTAGAAGCGACTGCGGTGTTTACTCTCAGCCCAGGAGGAAGCGTCGGATGCTCCAGTCGCCTTTGGGCTCTCGAAAGGCAAACTTCTTTAGGATAATCGAACCACACGATCACTGGCTTCGACGACCAATGAGCCAAACGACGCCAGCTTTCACGATCCTTGCTAGTAGGGTTACACCGATCTAGCAACACCCTCTTGCCCATTGGGTCTCGTCCAATATCTGTTTCGCATAGAGCCCGAGATCCGCTCTCGTCCTGGCTCACCCTTTTCCAACTATTGGGCTTACGAGCTCTCAAAGCCCTTGTAAAATAGGATTTTCCCGAGCCTGTAAATAGTCAGACTTTACGCACCTCTTGAAATCAATACTTGAGCGTACCTTGTAGCCCGACCAGTACGAAAAGATCAGCATCGCGCGGGAATTCTCCTATTATTTCTAGAGGGCACGGAGGAGGTTCCATGAGTGATACGCGGGTGACCGAGTTTCTTTTCCAAATACTCCGCTCCCATAGTGTGACCATGTTCTCTTGCTCCGATTTTTGTATAGAGAATGGGTGGAATGCATCAAGTGCAGAGATTACATCCGACACTTGCATCGCAGGGGTTGTTCGTTCATGAGCTGAACTGAAACCGTATGCAACTAGATAGCATGCTGCGACCACTGCTGTAAATTCAGATCCACTGGAGTAGATCAAGGTTGGGGATAGTTGAGAGATTGAGAGGCTATCCAGGATACAATCAATTTGTTCAAGGGTCGGAACGTGCATCGTGTGCATGGGGACATATGTCTGTTTGAAACACCGTACCCATGCTTCATTAACCTTAGACCGATCTTCAAGGATAATCAGATGTCGAATGTTCACATGGGGAGAGCATAGATTCTGGAATTGTTGACTATCGACAGGCGGAGAGGAAATGGCTAGCCGAAAAGGGACAAGCCACCGAAAGTGGAGTGGGAGTGCACTACCTTCCAAACCTTCAGAACTACTGAATAGGTGGAGTGGTCCTTTCGTCTCCCATCTGGGTCCAATGCTGTTGGCATACGAATCGCCGATTTCCTCTCGCACCTCGTTCGGCCAGGTTTCGGATAACGGACCATGCAAGCTAGGAGGTAATTGATCCATCTCTTCTCTGAGAAATATGTGTGACCACTCCGTATGCGAAGCCGTCGCCATAATGCGCTCTAGCGCATGAGAGTGCACTTTGGGAGAGGCGTCTTGTAGAGAGAGGATACGACCATATGCGAGCATCGCCAGTTTATGAGAACCCAGTTTAAAAGCTATGTCTGCGAGGCGTAGCCATCCCCGAAACGACGTCGGTTCCTTTTGGGTCAGGGTGGTCGCCACTCGCAAAGCTCGGTGTTCTTTCTGTGCATGTAACAATGCAAATGCAAGATGATCTAGTGCATCAATCTCGAGCTCTTGTGGATCGAAAGACGGTGAAATATCTTCAACTTGGGGTTGAAATTCACTACGCCTTTGCCCTGATAACGGGAGGGCGAAAATAGGGTACGAGCCAAGCTTGGCCTTTTTCCTGAATAAATATCCAGCGTTCCAGATAAATAAAACGTATTGAAAGCTTTCGTTTTGTGCCATTGCTATGGTATATAGATGGCTCAGATCTAGCGTCGAAAGGTTCTTCTTCATGTCCGTGGGCAAGCTCTGAAGCTCGCCATGAGACAAGAATTCATAAGAATCCGCGTTTGTGACCCTATCGTGTATGAGCGACTTGTCTAATCCAAACTGGGTGTCGACGCCTTCGATCACAACGCCTTTGTTGCCATTGCCAATCCGGAGACGCATCTTGAAGTTTGGGGCAGAATCAAGTATTACGGATTCGACATTTGCTGTTTCGAATTTATGCTAGGTCGTCGTTGACTCGGATGGTAGTAGGCGCGGTCCCGTGTAAAGATGGGTTCACGTGAAGCGGAGTTTGAATGTTGCACTGAGTCTTTCAACCTCCAGCCTCTCTATGCCCTGAGTGGCCAACAACCAGTAACATCAGCAGCACGCACCCTGGTTCCTACCTCTGTTCGAACTACTTCTACAGGGAGCACGAATATATCGACACTATAAGGACATCTGATATTTACCAACCACAACCCACGAGGTCCACCCGTGTGCCATCAGATCTTGCCACTACCTCAACCTTAGAACAAACTTTTTAATAATCCAATAACCTAAATCAAACAATATGACAGAGATACAACGCCCATTCGACTCCGATTCTTTCACCAGCCACCCACCTAATCAATTCTTCGACCAAGCGTCGCTGGACACGCCTAGATCGTCGCAAGAGCACACCCCTAGGTTTCAGAGAGAGTAAGGAGTCAGATAAACTGGGTAGTATGACGCTAACACGAGTTTATATATCTAGCGTCCTAAAGTCAAAATTGGAACGTGAAAACCGTCGTCAACAGAGAGCCGCTGATCGTACCAAACTGAATGATGAAGTTAGGGATCGACTACGGGAGGAACTTTTGCACCATGAAGAGTTGCAACGTCAATTACACTCTGCAAGGGATTCTCTGAAGCGAAGGCGTTCGTACGCAGAGAAAGCCGAGCAAGAAGCCCAAGATTTGGAGCTTTCTCTATCTTCTGGGGCTTTGAAAGAGGACCAAATGTCGGTAGAGCTTGCCAAGATCCAGGTTGAACTAGCCGCATACCGTACTCGTATGGAAGGAATAGAGCAGGAACTTCAAAAAGCGCGCGACATGACCGACGAAATTACTACGGACAGGGATAAAGCTCGAGATGAAGCTCGTCAGCTTCGAGAAGAAAGGCGAGAGGCTGCCGAACAACGTCGATTGGACGAGGCCAGGCGGGAAGGTATGATGCGAGGAAAACTGGAAGGGATGTACGCTGGATGGGAGGATGGAAAGGTACAAGGTTACAAGGAAGGAAGGTCGGAAGGATCCCGCACTCAACACGAGACAATGCTGAACAAGGACTGGAGATATCTGCAACGAGAATTTCCAAACTATGATCGGTTTGAAGAGCGTATTCCTTCCCCAGAGAGCTATGATGGGGATGCACCGGAGCAACTAAGGGGGCTTGAGGCCCCGATAGTCCTTCCTCCTACTAAAAAGCCTCGCCGCCCACCTCCTATTCGTCCAGCAGAGGAACATGATGAGGAAGCTCACCCAATGGTAACCAGGACAGTTCATTCCTCTCCCGAAACTATTCAAGAGACCATGCCCCCTCAAGTCGTTCCCCATCCTACGCATCAGCCATCCCCTCCTTCAATGCCAGTGCCATCTACCTCCCACCACCAGCCAGAACCGACTCCACGAGAGCGGCCCCGATCGAATATCCCACCTCCACGGCCTATTTTCTTGCACGATGAGAGTTCATGGCAGCCTCCTCAATCTATTCCGGAGACCCTTAAGCGTTCAACAACACTCCATCAACTAGGTGAAAGGTTTAAACGTAAACCTGAAGAAATATCTCATGCACCACACGACATGGACTTTGCCCCAATAGCAGCACCTGGACAATATCCTTCGGTGGCTACACCCCTTCCTCATTGGGAGACCATGCAACCGGGAAGAGCGATTCCAACACCGGCTGGATCTATACACGAATTTAGAGACGACGAAAGAGAAAGAGACAGATTCCAAGAAGAAGATTTACGAAATCGATATTCTTATAATGAGGACCCCAGAAACAGGTTAGGGAAAGTTATGATGGGCAGCATCACCGGTTTCCTCCACCCTAAAACCACCCGAACACCGTACAAGGACCCTCTGATGTACCAAGATGCGCGTTCGACAATCACCTTGCCTTCTCTGATCGACAGATCACGAGAACAATCCCCCGCACCTTCACCTAAAACCCGCCCGTCACAACCCGACTGGAGCAAACCTGTTGTTCCAGTCGCTGTCAAACCACAACCGTCCCCTCGACATAGTCGTATCAGCATGTTACCTGACAACTATATCCCTCCTCTCGATGCCGACGGGGGGTTCAGTCTACCACCTCCTCACGAGTTGAATGGTAGTGCCATGCAGAGTGCAATCAACCTCACTCTCAGCCAGAATGCAAGTCGAAATCCTA